GTCATTAGTACAAAGTCGGTGGTGGAAGGATTACTAACTTCTAACGGATCTTCTATCATTTGTTATGCCAACTGCCGTCTGAGACATAGGCAAGGAACAGTCCTGTGAACGTTCCTTTGCTTTTGCCTTGCACTAAGTGCAGCCCAACATTGTTTCTACGGCAATTTCTACTTTGGTTGCCTTGTAGCTATTGCGTTAGCAGGTATCAATAACCTCATTAATTTTATAAAACAAATCAAATGGTTTCAGTATAAGGGAAGTTGATAGGAATCCCTTTCATATGCCTCTCATGATTTCATTAAGAACCAAGAGAGCTAAATGCGCCCGATCAAGGGATGAGCAACCTAAGTAACAGACAAATATAAACCAAGGAAATTTATGAGCTTTCCATTAAAGCGGATAATTAAAATATATACCTACGTGGCCATCTAATCTCTACTCAGAGGTATAGTTATTTCCGATTTTTCGACCAAAGCTCATCCTCGAATTGTTGGTGTGCGCATGAATGCTCTTCCCAACAAATATATGAACGGCTTATACTAAGCTGCTGATGGTTTTATATGTGCTGAATTTTTATTTCATGTGAGAAATATACCCAAAAATTGCTTCTGCTATTACAGATCATCTTTGACATCTGTATTATACTTTTCATCAAAGCATTGACCTCGTATCGAGGTTTTCAATAGAAACCAAATATCTGACATTGGTACGACTTGGTTGTATGGTTCTACATGATAAAGTCGCAGTAATCCGAATTCGATGACTTTCAGCAACAAAGTGTAATTCAATGCGCAGAGTACCAAATTTTCCACTCTGAGATGCATTTCCGACAACTTTATGATCCATACTGTTAAATTTAAAGAATCGACGATATATGTATATGCTATAGTGGTCCGATCTGGCTGGTTCCAAAAGATGGTTCAATCTCCGAGACGCATGCTAAACTCACTGAGGCACATTTGGGCTGTGGCACACAATATTGTTTTTTATTTTTGTTATTTTCATTAGTTATCTTTAACTTCTTCGCGACATTCTTGTAAAGTTTGATAAAAATTCTTTGCTCCGTCTTTTTGACAAACGAAAATGGCTGCATTGAATGCATTGAATTTATTAAAATAATATTTTTTTTAGGAATATCTAAGATCTAAACTAAAATACTGAAGCACTGAAATTTGTTGAAAAAGACACCTAATTATGACAACTAATCCTTTGATTTCAGGTACAATTTAAAAGGTTTAACGACTTCTTTTCGTATTCTATAAAATATAAGAATGTCTATGTATTACATAAAAAATACTTTAAAGAGTTTCGACCACATTTCTATTTTCAATTAGCTTTAATACTTTTGCCTGTAGTTCCCTACTCTTAAACCTAATCATTTTCACCAACCTAAACGTTTAATTATTGTGTTCGCACTTCCCTTATCAACTAGAAGTATCTGCCACACACAAAATAACTTTTGAAATAAATGACCACACGCTGCTTACAAATACCTACATAAATGTATAAATCTCACACTTCACCGGTGTGAAAATGTGAGCTCGGAAGAGAGTACTTGAAAAGACCGTACGAATTGAACGATTATTTTGATGTATTCAAAACGATAGCAAGGCTTCTTCAGGCAAGTCCCGTAAATGGTTGTAAGAAGTAGAAAGAAAAATCAAAAAAGGTAACTGGAAATTTATGCAATTTAACCAAAGCACAGTTAAAAAATGGAAGCAAATGGTAGCGAGAGAAATAATCCGTGCTTGCTGTGAGTAAGTAAATCATCCACTTTGTGTTGATGGAATTTCCTACAGGACAGTTGTTGTATATAGAAAAAAACGATTGTTGTTGAGCAAACTTTGCAAATATACAAATGAATACACAACCAGCAACCGACTTGTCCGTTGGTAGCACGCACACTTATTATGTCATACATACATTTGTGGCCGGAAATGATACAACTTTGTACTTCCTGTTGGCTTTGATTTATCGCTCGGTAAGTTTTGCTTATACTAAAATTCTCAGAAAAAAATAATACTGAAAAACAGGAGCAAGCAAAACTTGAAACAAAGCGTCTATGCTCTCAAATTTCGAATGCTTAGTACGTTCCCATACATTTGCAGTTACTTATACCGTTGCTTTTGTGCAATACCATAATAAATATTCCCGTTAACGTTGTATTGTTGCCTCGTTTCGGTTGATCGGAAGTTTGCTATGCGATATGTCCGCAGTTTTGTGTATATATTAAGGTATAAACAGATATGTACATAAAAATTTATTTATTCCCATATGTTTGTAAGTTTGCAAGTTTCGGTATTGGTAGCTCGCTGACCGGAAACTTATTAGAACCTCGTTTGCTTAAATCAAAGCTAAAGTGTGTCTGAATATTCTAAATTGTGCACATAAATTTATTTTACCACATTTTACTTTCTTAGCGGTCAATGTGTTGATTCAAACCAAGAGAAAACAAGAGAAAGAAAGCTTTTTGGTGCGGTTTAGAAAAAAATAAAATATACACAAAAAAAGTTAAACAATTAAATGATATTAAAAAAAGGTGTGTTAAAAAAACGTTAAGAAGACTAAGTGTAGAAAAAATTATATCAAATAAAAGTAATCGCAATAAAACAAAATAACAAAAAAGATTTATCATAAACTTGAATAAAGCAAAGTCGAAAAGAATAAGAAAAACCTTAAATAGCATAAATTAAAAAACACAATAAAAAACAAAGAATTAACTGAAAATACAAAGATTAGAAAAACGAATAAAATAAAGAAATAAAATAAATTAAACAAACGAAAAATATAGAAACGAAATAAAATAACTAAGATTGAAAAATAATTAAAATGAATAACGGAGACATATATAATAAGTTGAAGTTACACTAAATATATTAAAATTAATTAATCGTTCAAAATATAAAACAAATTAAATTAAAATAAAAACAAATAAAACGAAAAAAAAAAATTACTTATGATGAAATAAAACATAATAAAGTTAAATATCTTAAAATAATAAATATTTTAATTAAATTAAAATATAATAAAATAAAATAAAATAAAATAAAATAAAATAAAATAAAATAAAATAAAATAAAATAAAATAAAATAAAATAAAATAAATTAAAATAAAATAAAATAAAATAAAATAGAATAAAATAAAGTAAAAGAAACTAACATAAAATTAAACTAATAAAAATATTAAATATAAAAAAATAAAATCAAGTAAAATCAAACAAAATACCATTAAGTAAAGTAAAATATTTTAAACCTAAAAAATCAAAACAAAATTAAATAAGATAATGCTAAAATAAATTATATAGTTCGAACAAATAAAACGAAATTAAAAAAAATAATAATTTAAATTCAAATAAAATAATATAAGATATTATATATAAAAGTTAAATTAAAGTAATATAAAATTAAATACAATTAAATAAAATAATATAGAACTTCAAAATAAAAACGAAATAAATTAAAATAACGTTAAATTAATTTTAATAAAAATAAAACGATTAAAAAATGTAATAAAAAAATAAAAATAAAAATAAAAATAAAAATAAAAAAAAATAAATTAAATAACTTTTAAGGAATAATTATAAATTAAAAGTTTAAAATAAAATAAAATGAGGAAAATAAAATAAAATACCATGAATTCTAGTGAAAGAAAAAAACAAATTTAAATGAAAATATATAAATTATAATTTAATAAGATGAAATAAAATTAATTTAAACTAAATAAACTTAAAATTAAGTACGAGTAAATGAAATTAAATGAAATATAACAAAAGTAGTAACACGAAACCAAAAACAAATAAAATAAAGTAAATTTAAGAAAAGAAATAAAAATAAATTAAACTAAAATTTAGTAAAAATATGAAAAAAGTTAAAGATAATAATAAAAAGCTTGGTTTATTATGAGCATTATTGTTTCTTCCATAGTTAGATGTGGTGTTGAATTTACATGAAATTACTTTTTCCGTAACATACGCAAAAAAAATTAACAAAATTTGTTGAATTTTTACGAGTGCTCCTTTATGTCGACATATAACCTTGAACTACAGCGAATTTTTATTAAAACATATTTTGAAATGAATTTTTTATATATATTTTTTTTTTGTGCATTTGATCTTTATTTTTTCCCCGGAAATGGGTTGGGATATTCCAGCACAATATATTTTAAATTAATCAGAGAAATGGAATCCGATGCAAGGAGTTATCAAAAGTATTAAGGTAAAGCCATATCGAGGTTATCTTCAAATTTCGCTCCACCTACTAAATGGTCTGCTCTTCCAGGAAATACTAAAATTGAGTAATAAAATGATTTTTTCATCGAAATCCTAATTAAATGAATTTATTTGACGCTTAACCTTGAACTTGTGAATGACTTAAGGTATTTTTAAGCTATGAACGGAAGTGGTTTATCAAGTGTCGCCCACCCAAACTGGGACTCCGGTAAAACGACCCTTTGTGATCTCGATGTTTGGCTTGAAAGCTCACGCAAAGTTTATTAATTCAGTGTCTGTAATGTTTAAAGTCTGATCACGGCAGCCGTTATCCTTATGGGTGGATAAGGCTGCGGAAATAGTGAGGTGAGTCTACTGATCAAACCCAGTAATGATTACACCATGAGCATGCCTTACTTTTATTAACCTTCTAATGAATTGTGTGTCCGGAAATTAGTCTCTAGAGTCCGACCAATCATACAATTTGAAAGTTAGATAAATTTCTTAGAATACAATCTTCAAGAGTCAAAGAAGAAAAGGTCTCTTAACATATAAAGTTTTCCTGTTCTGCAACTCAAGTGAATGGTTCAAAAAAGTGTTCGTCGTGATTTAAAAATTGGAAAAAAATATCTAGTAGACATATTTACCAATCACAACTACTAGCAAATTTGAATTACCTATGCGACCTAGGGGCCACCTACTCAATAATGTCCACTTACACTTACGAAAAAAATCATAAAATGGCCTTAATAAATTACGAAAACTTTGATATTTAAGTAAAATCTGAAAGAAACAAAAAAAAGCATAAATAAAACGCAATAAAATTCTGAAGGAATAATTTCATTGAAAGCCAAATTTCAAGTAAAACTTCTTTTATTTTTATATTCTTAAAACACTAAGAAAAAAATCAGAAAATAGAAGAAAACATTGAAGCTTTCAGTGCACGATTGCAGCTCAACGGTTAAAGGATACAAGAAAAACAAACAAAGAGGCATGGAGAGCAAAAGTATTATAAGCGCCAGTGGACACACGGAGGAAGGTTTGTACGTATGAGTGTTTATACGCACCATGTATGTATTTACATACATATGTACGTATGTATCTTTATATATGAATGTGTGTTCGTTAATTCCCATTGGGCTGTATTAAAGAGTGCACGTAAATGCGACGGAAGCTTCTTAATGCATCTTTTAAATACATTTATTTACTTGACATTGAGCAGCAGTAACATGCTTGTCTATAAGCTGCCTCAAGGCAAAGTCAATAAGAAACATATTGACACATGTGTCAAAGCGGCAAGAATGTACAGCAAAAAAATAATTACTTTAATTAGCTGACGAAGCGCAGCCTTGGCTTGCATTTAAAATTTCTCATCTCTTTCGTTCTCTTCTTCCACGTGCAGCGGTGGCGAATACGAAGGCGAGCCCAGCACTGCCAACGCTTGTGGTCCTTGCGGCCAAGGTTGCTGCCGGTATCAAGGTAATACCAGAAATGTGTAAAGAGGAAAAATTAACTGCAAACCCAGCGCATGGCAATCGAACCATAGCAAATCTACAGGGACTGGAGTGCAATGATAAACCGCTTAGTCAAAAATCCGATGACTCCGATTGCACCATACTTTCCGACCAATCCGAAAGCAATGCACTGAAGTCAATACCTTACGGCGGCGCACAATCAGCGGACGACAAAAGTTTTGCAGGCGTGCAAACGCTGGACCGCATAATGTTGGCACACTCAGAGCACGCGATAACGACTGGCCACATTTCAGTCGATTGCGTTGCCGGTCAGTTAGCGGTGACGCATGAAAACATGCTGCAGGCTGATAGTGATGGTGGTGTCAAACAGAAGGGCTTAACTGCGTCTGGGCAGGCGGGAATGGCTGCCACCGTGGCTGGTGATGGTGGTGGTGGCGGTGTTGAAGGCGCGCCTCAAACTACACCCACCGGCTCGGTGCGCTCGATTGGATCACTGGTTTGTCGCATTTGTCACAACTCGGAAGACCCAGAGAGGTAAGAGCAGTTTATTTATATCAATATTTACAAATAATGGTATAAAACTATTGTTAAAATAGAAAGAATGTTGCCCTAAAGTGCTTACAAGAGAATGATATGATAGCAAGGACAAGTTTCTTAGTACTTTCCAAACCACAAGCTGCTTTGGCCTAATAATTAGAAAATAATAATTAATCGAATGAATTAAAAAAAATCATCTACTACAAACCAAAACTTTCATATTTCGATTTTTTCTCTTAACAAACATATTAAAAAAAAAAAATTAAAATATTCTGTTCGGAAAAGGACAGGATGGAGTCCCTTCTCAACAAAATTTTTACCAGCACAGAAGTAAATTTGTCATGAAACTACTAAACATTTGTTTACAAACAATTCGCATTGCTACAAAAGTTAGCACTGTGGCCCCTTAAGAACAAAAATTAATTCGTTGAAATTCCAAATCCCTCAAACCAATGTACTAGATTTCTGCATTGTGAAAGGAAGTGAATTTTCGAGATTGGAGGGGTGGAAATACTATCGAGTAATACTTATTTCTAAAGGCTGTAGGACGACAATAACTTTGAATAGCTCCCAGAATCATATCGCGCGCCTCACTTCAAATAATGGTGATACTAATAAGAAACTGGGATGTTGAAAGCTTAAGATCGCTATTTATTACATTTTTCGAACAAACTAAAATTTCACAATCATTTATAAATCGTTCCTTATAAATTTAGTTATTTTAATTCAAAATATGTTTTATGTGATAATAGCATTCTCTTTGTCCTCTTTGTGTCCAATAAGGGTCTGCTCCGGTTTTAAGCCCTTCGGTACGTCGCCGCATCTTTTCATAGCATCTTAAGTAGTAACCTTGTAGGCCAGTTCTCTGGGCGTCTTTTAATTTTTGTCTGCCACATGCGTCTTGTCCCCCTCTTCAGCTTCCTCACGCGTTGTGATCGACCGGCAGTCTTCATTGTATGGTCGGCTTTTGCGACCTATTCGAAATCCCACAGTTTCTTCCTCAGCTCTAGGTAAGGATCTTTTAGTGCCGTCCCAAAGTTCCCTTATACCGAATTGCTCCAAAATCTTCGTAAAAAGCAAAGTACATAAGTCGAGTAGAAAACCGTTCGATTATTTGTTAGCGTTGCAGCTTTTCAACTCTGAATCTTCATTGTGTTTAATGATATCCGCCCTTTGCTACACAGAGTCGAATGAGTCTCCATGCCAAGTTAGTGGCCCAAATCAATATTTGGAACTCCAAGTATACACTGATAGATCTAATTTTGAGTTTGTTAATCTAGATGCAGGCAATTCACTTGATGAATTTTCTCGTGCTGGAGTCTAGTACTGCAGACAGACATACTTTGGGACCCGGCGATGTCGATTATACTCATCTAATTTGGGATGAGAAGTTCAACGAAAGGAGTATATTCCAGTACTCGGCGATGGAGTCTCTTTCGCACCACAAATCCCACACCAAATTTGTACTCCTATATATGGCTGCTGTCGCAAATATCATAAGGACCTACTCATTTCGTGGAAATCGACGACGTCAGCATATATTCAATCAGTCAGATGCATTCCCCCAAATCGTGATCATTAAAACAATTGCCGGGAACGTCACCAGAACGGGGTGTATCAAGCGACCCTTGCTTGATTATTTCATTGGAGCTGGTTTCTACGTGGCGGAGGGTGGATTTAAGGGGCACACCTCGGGTGAAATTTCAAAAAAATATTTTTTCATATTTCAGTAGATTACACCGTTAAAAATAACATATTAAAATTTCAAATCGATATTTCAAATAGTTTTTGAGTTATAGCAATTAAAAGAGCAGCCGCTCGGCAGCTGGAGAATCTCATTAGCTACGAGTGAAATCGATCATTTTACCTTTAAGCGCGGTTTTCTCGAAGCAGAATTTTCCGAATTTGCTGCAGTGATTACTCAAAACAAATGATCCGATCAATATCGATTTTTTTACATGTTCTATATATAGTACAATGACCCATCGATTTTCGATCTGATCAAAAAATCGAATTTTGGCAGACCAAAAACGACCAAAATTTTGAGTAAAATTCGACTATTTTTTTTTAAACGCCGCCATATTGTTAATTTTGATTTTTTTTTACCGTAGATCATTGTACAGATACCATTATCTTATCGAGAATCACTGAAGCAGTAAAGGACCTTTTTTTTCGCACCGTTGGAGATCGACTATAACTTTAAAAATATTTTATTATTTTCTTCAAAAATTTCATTGCTTTATTCTTGAAACATGTATAAATATATTCTTAAAATTTTGAAATAATTTATGAAGTATTTTTTCCCCAAAATTCACCTTTATTAGGCCATTACACTATGTGTGAACCTTAATTTTTTCCGCATTTATATAACGAGCCGCTTGCTTCATTACTGACATACGCTCGCAGCCGCGACCCTGGTGAAAATACACTTCAACTAGACGTCAGCAAACCCTAGTGCCTCTACTAAAACTTCTTCCCTTTCAGCCATGATCCAAGGCTGCAAGCGGGTTGGTTACCGCATCTTGCAGAAGGGTTGCTCACGTTCCCAGGGTGATGGGGACGCAAAAGTAGGAAATGAGTACAGCCCCGCTACTGTAACTGCTTACCCTGAAGCTTGACTAAACCGCATGTATTCTCCTCAGAGTAACTTGATTATCTCTCCGCTGCTTACGGGGACACGCAAAAATTCTAGCACAAAATAATTTCCAGCAAAATTGTTTGCACATAAATTGATAAATCCTTTGTTTATCTTATCTCTGGTCGACTGTGCAAATATAAAATATCGAATATGCAATTTACAATGTTTTGTTATATAATTAAAGTTGCATAAAATAGCCAATAATTAGTTAAAAATAAATATGTATGCGCATGCGCATATATACTTTTTGCCTGCAGTGAACTCGCATCCGGATGCTTATCGCTATTTTCGTTGTAATCTGATGAGCATATTGAAATTCTAAAAATTTTATGCAAAAATTATTAAACAAACAAACGGATACGGATATGCGCGCGTGTGTGTATGCAAAAAAGTGCTGGCGTTATATCCGTGAGCTAAATTACATACATACATATAAGACTGTATATGTGTTCATTTTCAATTTTTAATCAAACATTATTATCGCATTTTTTTACCAAATAATTTTTGGCAAATATTTTTTTAATTGAATACACTGCCCGCTTTGTCTATTTGCAGATTAGTTTCGCCATGTTTGTGCAAGGGCTCGTTAACATATGTGCATATTCATTGCCTGGAGCGCTGGATTGGCACCTCGAGGAGTACAGTTTGTGAACTTTGCCAATTTCAATATAATACCGTGCAGACATTGAGGTGAGTGCCTGAGTGTGCGCGCGTATGAGGGAGTAATTTTTGTAGTTTTGCACTCGCATTATTTGCATGTATGTGTATGTGGAATTTCATTCAATATTTACATACATTACTACGATAATTGCATAATATTTGCACTAATTAATAAATTGCAATTAAAACAGCTGGTGAATTTAGTGAATTCATTCGAGAACAGAACAAATAAATTCACACACAATAAATATGTAAATATTTGTTAAGGGAATAATTTTGGAACATTAAGCCGATGTTTTGATAACGGTAAATTAGTGAATGGTGAGTTTTAAAAATACCCCATTTTCAATACGAAAAAATTGAAGCAAACAAAATTTTTGTTAAAAGTAACCCTACGAAATCAGACTCAAAGGCGAAGTCATGCAAAATTTATCTAATAAAAAAAATTGCTTTTAGACTCCGCGTTTCAGGGTAAAAAATGAGTTATGCATAGATACCAAGGGAAATTTAAAATGGGAAAAGTAATGCGAAACTACTGATTCCTGCTGAGCAAGAAAGTTGAAGAAATGTTTCCTGAGAAATTTTTGTCCCGCAGGTGTAAAGGCTGGAAAGACTCCTTCTATTTTTCGTCCCTATTGCTGCGGCAATAATCATTATTTTCCCGTGAAGCCCCATTAAACAAGAACCGGACTAGAGGGATAAATGTTCTAATTTTTTCGCGTCCAACCTTGGCATTAGTAAAGTGACCAGCCCGTAATCACATTCAGCCATCTTGGGCCTGTTTCTTTGGCAAATGTCAATTTAAGCCATGTTAAGCACTCGGCGACTTCCGAGATCGCAGAGAGTTCTGCTGGGAACACGCTGCAGTGGTCTGGCAGATTTATACTCATATTTATAGAGAGCAGCGGTGCATAGATGACGCAGCCCACTTTTTCATCGAGCTTCGACCCATCTGTAGAGATGGTTATGGCTCCCTGCTTGGGGGCGCTGGTGTTTTCCCACTTGCATCTGTTTGGGATTCTTGAAGAGAAAATATTGTTGATGCATATACTGGAGGTGGTGTGTGTGTCCTTCTTCCAAGGTTGAGTTGCATTCAATCTAATTGCGTTACATCTCGCTTTTAATGTGTAGGTCAACAGGAAGGAAACTGAGAAGAGTTGGCGACGATTTAGAGGGAGTTGTTGGCAATGTCCCCGTCCCCAGACCATTGAACTTTGTGAACTACTACCTTATCCTATCAAAAAAACTTAAACTGCTCAAAAACAAAAGCTTGATATCGACTTAGACCGCAGGCGTGATACTTGTACTGCTAAGCACATTGCTAATAACACCGCTTACATTGAGCACCGTAACTCAACTACCATAGAGTTCGTTAGGCAAAGAATCTACATCTGTATTTACCTCCGAGAATGGGCTAAAAAATACCTAGGGAAAGTCGAAGGTTAAGCACTAGCCAAATTGCGTTCAGATTTTTTTATTCTCAACTAAAAGTTTGGCAATAATTTTCTCCAGGAAGCACTTAGAACCTGAACGCTGAGCTACACACAATGCTTCATGAATGCTGATGATGACCAAACAGAAAGGCTGATTTACATTGATCGTCACACTGCACGTGGTTTCACTCTGCCCTCTGCTGTTGAAGCTTCTGGTGATGGTTAGCCACGACAGTTAGTTCACCGAGGAAAGGGGTATGCGCGAGTCATGTGTGCATTTAGCCGGAGCTATGTATGTCCCCACGTCGGCCACGTAGTTTCCTGATCTATCCTTATGATCAGGGATCGAAAACACGGACTTTTCACACCGAAACAAAAAACCCCAAAAACCTTAGTCTCGAAAATAAATTAAAAGATCTCTCTTTCCGCTTAAGGCAACCGGCTGCTTCGTAGATACCACTGAGAGTAATAAAAAAAAACCTCCAAGTTGAAAATTTGGCAAGCGGCAGGATCAAACAATTCTGACCAAACGCCTTGAGTGCCGAAAATTTCAATGCGAAAATTACTTATAGAATTTTTGTATCGGACTTTAAGATATCGCTGCGTAGAATTAGACCATAGAGACTTCAAGCCATGCACACACACATAAATATGTATATAAATGATGAACGCAACCCGTCAAAAATAAACCAAATTTTCGCACAGTAGTAAAGAGCATTGGAGGAAGACATGACGTGATAATGACAAAGGATCAATTTCTACTGCTCCTACTAAATTTCAAGCTGTGCAAAGACGTAAAAAAACACTGAAACAAATAAACTAGTTTTTGCATGTTAGATAACGATTGTTGTTGTTGTTGTTGTTGTAACCGCAAAATTATTTCTCAAAGTACTTTTTGCGGAATGTTGCGGGACTGGCAGTCCTTGGCCTGATAAAAGTCTGGGTCGTTCCGGTATAAATCCGAATGTCGCGGGAACTATTGGATTTTAGTCGCTTCTAACGACAGGCATGCCTTACCACGGGTACATTCTTTAGCCCCTAATCCGCAGGGGGTGATAACGGTTAGATAACGGTCCTGTACCCTGCTGAGTCCATTAAACGAATCCTCTATTCACCTCTCTGCAAGTAATTTTCTCAAATATAATATTTTCGGGTTACTAAAAAATGGCAGCCGCGGAAGCCGAGTGATCATTGAGCTTTGCATACTGCCATACGAGGCCAGGGGATGTAGACCTGATCCGACCAACATTACAAGACTTGTAGAAAATTAATTTAAATTAAAAACTCAGCAGAGAATGTCAACCCCTCGGAGTGTATTTCTTACATAAAATGAAAGATCCTCATGAGAATACATCAGCATTATTATAAACAGTAGATCAATCGCAAACCACAAATCGGAGGAGGAGTTCGGCTAAAAATTGCTTCAGCAGTTACGAAGCGCTTATTATATTATACATGTCACATTATTGGTTAATTTTGTTAATAATATAGATTTATTTAAAGGTTTCCGAAAGTTTATCCAACTATTTTTTTCGCTCAAAAATAATCCAAAAAGTCTGATTTGATAGCGAGAACTTTTTTTGAATGAATCAGTAGAAAGTTAAGATCGATCGAAATTATGGAAGATGTATATTTTTAAAGAAGTTAAAAATTATCGACAAATATTAATATATATATTTTTGGAGTTAAATTGAGTTGAGCTGATGATGATTCTTATTCTGTAATTATGACTATTCCTCTTTTTTCCAGAACATTTAAGTTTTATAATCGTTTCACAAAGGGATACTTGTGGAAAATAGACTCTCAAAACTGCATGTTTAAAACTATAAAAGGTGTAGCCACTTTTTAAACAAAGCTGTGCCGTGTTCGGTCTAACTGACTTGTAGCTCGCTTGAAGTTTTACTGGAATAGTATTTAGAGGAGTTTAAGCAGCCTTTGTGGGAGTCGCTGAAAGTGCTTTTGCTTCTTGGAGCACCCTACGATATTTTAATGAAATGATAGCATACGGAAAATGCCAAGTTCTTGAGTATCAAAAGATTTGTGTCTGCCTTGAAGGAAACTTTCTGCTATGCAAAATTTCTTAAGCTTCAATTAACTGGAAAGGCAATAATAAATTGTTGTTTTATTATAAACTTTTTTGTTGCCATTCAATACTTGCATGCAAGCATTTCAACGACAACAAAAGTGTAATTTAATTGAATTGTTTCCAATACGTCACGGGGTAGTTGATAGAGAAATCGTTGAAGAGAAAGGACAAAGGCAAATGTTTTAATATATCTGTATAAGCATATAAAAATATTATAATATGTACTATGTATATTTATAGTATTACATATTTATATACATATATCTTAAAATACACATATCCTGTATTGCGTTAGGTCAATAATGTCAAACACCAAACTTGAAAGGAAAAAGTAAAAGTAGGTAAAAAATAATGAAGGGTCAGTACTTATTGACATTCTGAGCATTTTCTCGCTGAAAAGGCAAATGTAAGAAGCGCAAAAAAAAAATCGAAAAACGTTCTCTCCATACCATGCAATATACAATCAATGTTTTTCTTTTTTTGTTTTTTTAACTGTTCTTTTTATTGCGCCATATCTTAGCGCCGCTTCGTACGATTCATTGACGCGCAGCTCGGCGCAAACGCATTTAGGCAGAAATCGGGTTAAATGCAGAACAAATGGCAAACAACAATCGCACTAAAAGGGGTGGTAAGAACAGTAGAAATAGTAGAGTGCCACAGAGAATAGCGGAATAGGTGAGAAAAATGGGAAAATATGGAAAAAACGTGCCCGGCGCCTTTTCATTCCCTCTCTCCTGTTGCTTTTTCGCAGGAAGAAAGCGCTGAAGTGTTAATTTAACTCAATCACTTTTTTGCAGAGTGATTGACTCTTTAGCTATGCTGCTGGTCTTCCTCTTCTCGTTAAAAATTTGTATACCCTTCATGATACGAGCAGTGTATAAATACTTATTTGAAGATCTTACATTAGTGTTTGTGGGCACAAATTACAATCGCTCCTACTGAATTTTAGACTTTCACTTGATTTTAGAAAATAACTCGGGAAATACAGAAAAACTCAGTTTTGTAGAAACAAATTTAACAATTCTCTTTCAAGATAATAAAAAAAAATATCTATTTTTGGGAGGTCCTCAAACTATTTTACCATAGCAAATTTAGAAAACTGTATATTAGTAATTTCTCGACTCATACATATTGCATACGCAATACCAAGGTCAACGAGTCTAGTGCACAAAAACTCTCGAATAAAATGTAGCGACTGGTGGAATGTTTTGAAAACGGACCACACTTAAATGAGGCCAAATGAGGTGATCTCGTGACCGATGCCCGAAGTATACTGAATTTGCGGAGGCAAAACCTGTTCAACCTGCGGAACGGTAGCGGGCCAAACCAAAATCCCAAGTGATAATGATGGAAGAGACCTTCTAGAGACCTTTGACTAGAACGAGGTAGAAATAGCGAATACCCAGTTAAAGAACGAGAAAGCAGCTGCAACCGATTGCCTACCGGCTGTGCATTTTAAACTTATCGTTGCAGAGTTAACTAGCTATAGGCATCAGCTTTTTTGCGGAATATAGTCTGATGAAAACTTGTCCAACGTTTGAAATTTAAGTGTCTCTATCGAAAATTCTTAAATTCCTAGCACCGAGACAATGTGCCGTCAAAACGAATGCAAGCACTGCAGCTTTGAAAGTCTTCGAGGCAGTGTCTGGTGGAAACACATGAAAGAGAAGACCATCAGTCTGGTGGGGAAATCTAAAGCTGAAGGACTTGGCTTTATTTGGTGTATGTTTTTTGTTACGACGAACCCAGCGTTACCCACCTCACGTCTGAGGTATAAATGAAATATCCCACAAACCGGTGACCGAAAACCGCACAGCCCGGACAGCCCTGAACCCGAAACCTACCGCGGAAGGTCGCGGTCACACTTGACTCCTATATTGAACACTAAACAGCAACATTTGTTCATCCGCTTATAGCAGCATCTCATGGGAAAGTGGAGAAGGAAGTAACTTAATTATTTAAAGCACTCAATAAGTAGGTTTTGATACAGAAAAGCGAGTCAGAGAAATCAATGTTGGTGGAATGTGTATTAAAATCGTTACACAGATATCCAACAGGGTCGTGCATTTCAAAGTTTATGCTTCATGAAGACAATGAAAGGGGCCTAAAGTGTCTAGATGATCTTAAAGGAATGGTAAAGTTAAGCTCGTTATGTGGGAATGGGTGTTATAAGTTAAAAATAAAACTCCAAACATTTTTCTTCGCATGTGGAGTGTGGGCAGATTAATGAGCCGTAAACGACTTTTGTAAAGGGGCAGATTCTTATTCGTTTTCCAGCTTAGATTTCTTAACGCGAATAGCAGGAATTTTTTCAGTACAGATTCCCATTAATCATTGTGCTGTTGATAGTGCGGACTCCATACAACTGAGCCATATTCCAAAATGGGTCTATGAAGTGCGGTAAATAATATCAGGTGTACAACTTTTCTTCCGCCATTTTCCGATAGGTGTCTGTACCGGCTGAGGCTGGTTGAAATACATAGATGATAATGCCTTTAGAGTGAGTGTGGACAGTGCCTAAGGAATTGTCATCGCCGTTTCAGTCACAGTTGTTCTTGTTTTCGTATTAATTTTTTTTTTTCTGTTACAATTCGAAAAAAATGCAGCTGAAGCGCATCGAAACACAACAATGATCGGCCTCACATCGCAAAAGTGGTCAAAAAGTGCCTGGAAACGCTGAAATGGGAAGTCTTGCCCCATCCGCCGTATTCCCCAGATGTCGCCCTTTCTGACTTCCACCTATTCCGTTCGATGGCACACGGCCTGGCAGATCAACATTTTTAATCCTTCGAAGAATTGGAAAAATGGATTGCTTCATGGATAGCGTCAAAAGAGGACTCCTTTTTTCGAGCCGGGATCCAAAAATTGCCGGAAAGATGGGAGAAAGTTGTCACTAGCGAAGAACATTACTTTTAATTTTGGAAAAAAACGGCACAAGCAAAGTTGTACAACTGATAATTTGGTAATATATCGGTCATTGAGCTCCTTTGTCAAACGTTTAATGAAAGCTAAAACATCTTTTGCCCTATTAGCTCAAGCATTTATATATATAATTCGTAAAATCAAGCTTAGGGTCCATTTTGACACCTAAATGAATGAATACAAAAGATGGGACAGATTTTCTGGAGAAACACATATTTTTGTACCTATACATACAGTTCGCATCGCCCCCACCTAACTAAATTATTCAGGTCAAATTGCAAAACTTCTCTATCTTCAATAGAATGAGCTTATTTAAAGAGCTTGACATTTGAAATGAGCCGAGCGAATAAAAAAAGTAAAGAGCGGCGTACAAATATTAAATCAGCTACAGTTGTGTAAATCTTGCTTACACCAAAGGAAAAGAATCACAGAATCTACCGTAGGGATTGTATTAATTAATTTATTTATTTATTTTATTTTAGTTATTTTATTTTGTTTGTTGGACTGGACGCTGCTCGAGCTCATTATCCGCATGGTACCTGCTCGACTACTGTGCCCCCAATCGCGAACAGTCTACATCCTATGGTATAAGTTCTGTTTGGACCTATTCGTTAACGCCCAGCAAGCGTTGCGTGTATGCGTGCTTTGGGGTTTCGGCGGGTGCGAGTTGCAAAACCATCGTGTTGTTAAAATTGCTCGCGAGCTGCCATTTCTCGTTTAAATTAAAACCCATGAATGGCATTTAGGACGCGAATATTGCAAACAGACACACACACACTCACTCACACACATACCCATCCACATATCGAAAGCAACGTACACCATAAAGCGTACAAGACAAACATATCCATCCGCCAGTGCCTTTTGTTCATTGAAGCGTTGCTGGAATCTTTGTGATTTCCGCCATGGTGTCGGTTGTTGTTTGTGTATATATGTATATATTCGTATTTATATATGTGTGTGTTCGTTTGAAAGTTACGAATGTGGTAAGTGCCCTTTTAGGCTACAACGCCTAATCACCCGCCTAAATCACCAATTTCCCTCCACACGCTCTGTCTCTTTCTCGCACACATGCATACATACACGCCAACTGTGTAGTGTTTTGCCGGACGAGTGGCTCTTGGAAATGTATGTAGTGAAAGTAACAACGCAGCAAATGAGCTGAAAAATTGTATTCCAAAACCACATACGGTTGTATTGCTATCATTTAAGTTTGCCGACATGGGAGTGTATGTGACTGAGTAGGCATGTGTGTGTGTGTGTATGTGTGTGCGTGCCAATAAATTGCAGCACATGTTGGCTTTTATTGTTAAGCACAAACTTTTCACAAAAATGCTTCAAATAAATGGATAACAAGCAAATTTGGCCTGCTTTATATGCTCGATTTGCGGTTCACACCGATTAGACTTGCCAAATGAGTGCGTGTGTGTGCATGTAAGATATTTGAAAACTCGCTTTGTCAGCGTAGACTTTGATTTGCAAAGTCATAACTTTTCAAGTTAAACGCGAATTCAAGAGTAACGAAAAAACGCAATGATGTGTACTGTTGAGGAATTATTATTATTCATTTTTTTTCTTTTTTTCTTTTTTTTTTTTTTTTGAATACGCACTTTGTTAACTTAGTCCTTTTCTTCCAGAAAAAACAGCATAATTTATGATAAAAAAGTTTATGAAAATTCATCTACATATTTCAAGCGAAAAATATAAAAAAATATCTGTTTTCCCTTGGCTTTTGACACTTTTGCTCATAGTCGAAAAACTGGGATATTTATTGGTAAATTAATGCAGGGGGGGGTTTGCTATTTTTTCCATAAAATTTTTATAGAATGAGGGGGGCGACCGCAATTAGGAAAATTATTTTTGCTAAAATTCTGGATGTTGGTCAAGCCAGAACTCGAATGCCGGCTACTCGCCTAATTTTAATCAGGATGTATTTTCATTAAAAATATTCTCTACTATTAAGTCGCCCAGACTGCCATACCCCTTGTCTATGTTTACACTGCATAAATTAACACTCTTGCTTGCGTAAATAATGAAGAAGTCAAATTATGTATTTAAAGTTGTTAATATAATTTTTTTTTAATAATTATTGCATATTACATGAATCTAATTTAAAGCACATTTATTTTTACAGATATACATGCCTCCAATCGCTTCGTATGTGGTATTCTCGTTCGATGAGTCGACGTGCGCTACAGGTGAGTGAGCTGACCATGACCGTAAGTAGGGCGTAAGTACCTGCAGATGACCTTGTATACACACACACATGCGCTCACATTTAACTGGTGTTGCATCGATTTACTTAATTAAAAGTATTGCTCTGTGTATAAAAGTACAAAATGGTTTACTTATTTACACACATGCATACATTTGACCAAATATATGGACTCTTTCGCTAATGTATAATATTTAAAATCACGTGGTTATATAAATTTAAATTTGCAGCTAATATTTCTTAGTTTTCGTTGGAAAAAAAATTCAGTTTTAAATAATTCAAGCCAGTGAGCAATACATTTTTTGTGCAAAAACCGTTTAATATAAATTTTCTCCAGTTGACATTGCTGGTGTAGCAATTTCTGACAAGGATTCCTAAATAACTTCAATTAAAATAAATTAAAAATTGCCCAAATTATTTAAACTTAATTAAAAAAATTATATTAAAAATTTTTACTTCTTATCAAATATTTGATTTTATTAATTTCCTATTAAATTTTTAGCACCTTTAATATTTTAAATTTTTTTTATATATTTTTTAACTTTTTTCATAAAATCTTGTATGCTTTATTTCAATGCATATTTAAAACTTATTTATTATTTTATCTATATTATTTGTTAACTCTTCTCAATTTTTATTTATTTTCAAATTTAATTCGCTTTCCGCAGGAAGATTGCCAAATGTTCTCGCTACTCACACTTGTTGCCTTCGGCATAATTGGTACGCTGCTTGTTGGTATACAATATTATTTCTTACAAGGCCAGTCATGGGTGTTAAGTCGTATGTGGACAAAAGGTTGGCTCATATTCTTCCTCTTCACAACGGTGTGTACGAACAGTTAAAGAAGTTTAATTTGTAAACCACAATGGAAGCAAGTTAATATGTTTTCCTTCATTTTTACCAAATTTCAGTTGACTATTTATTTCATAAATATTTATATGATACTCAAATCACAATTAAGTCCGTGGTACAGGTGAGTAAGGCTGGAAGCAAAACACAGATACATACACTTGCAACTCTATGAATATATAGTTTTTCCATTTTATTTTCTTTTATCCATAGAAGAATTATTTTCAAATTTTCTTTTATTAAAGATTTCATTGAAAAAGGGGTTTACCATGAATTCTAGTTAAAATTCACTAGTCTGAGCACACATGAACAGACATACATAAATACAGAAAGCATAACACCCGACAGTTGACAATCAAATATCACGATTTTATTTGTTTATTTGAATGCATGTAATGCGATGACAGGCAAATCACAGCAGATTGTATAAAAATAAACACAGTGAAAGAGAAACTTTAAATCGCCAACGGACAGCTGAAATGCGAAAAAGTCAAGCAGTCAAATGGAAAAATTAAATTTAAAATTAAAAAAAATCCACTCCTAAAGGGCAAACGGTACACAAAAGCAACAAGAAAATGTTGACTATATTTCATTATTTGCTATACAGTTGCTCAGCAATGCTTTGGTTAAACCAAAAAGAGGGTTTTTTCACTTCGTGGAAAAAGTTCGGACATCCAAAGGTGGAAGAAGAACTCATCGTTTGCTTATGTATGTGTTTATTTGCGAATGCAACGCTACACTGGCGAACAGAAATGAGTAAATAATAGGTTATTATTTAATAAAAAAAAATATATATCCTGGTAAATAGAAATGTGGGAAATGCAAATTGCTTTCAAAATTTTTGATCAAAATTATATAAAATTTTGAAAAATAAATCAATATATTTTTGTTTATTAAATATTTATTTGAAAATTATTTAAACATATAATATTTTTCCAAAATATCATAAATTTTATAATAATTTTGATAAATACTTCTCAAATTTGATTCGAAAAATTTATTGAAAGTAAAGTGTTATATGATATTATATTTTATTTATTTTTTTCATTTTTCTACACTTATTAAAAATAAATAGTTGTAGTTGTATTGAGTTGTAGAAAAAAAAATGAAACATAAAAACTTAGTTTTATCTTTTTTATATTTTTTGTTAGTATTTCCAACGATAATATGTATATATTTCTTTCACGAGCGTCACTCTCAAACGATTCGAATGGCATCCAGCGGAATCGGGCACGAAGTTATGCACTCATCCAATAATAAAAGCAATCAAAAGTTTAATGAAAACAGCGATTTCGTAGTTTGAAATAAATTCAAAGTGAATTACGTAATTTTATTATTAATTTAAAAATAATCGTCTGCAGAGGAAAACCTATTTCCAAAACAGATTTTTTAGTGCTCAACAATTAAAAGACTTTTATATATTTATTTATTATTGTCACTATTTATGTTTTCCTGATTTTGCAACAGATGGAAAAATCAACTGTTTTATTAGTATTATTTTCTTTTTTGCATTTAGAAGATGCATCCATTATTCACAAACTCGCAAAGAAAAAAAGTATGTATTTAAAAATTAACTTTTATCGAATTTTTTTTGCGCTTAATTTACAAATATCCACATTTTTATACCTATTGTACAAAAAACTCAACCATAAACAATAATATTTTTTATTAATGAAATCAGAAAGAAATGTGTACCTTATCTTTCAAACAAAATTAAAAAAAATATAATATAAAAGAGATTTAAAAAAATAATTTTTTTTTTTTATTTTTTTTTTTTTTTTTTTTTTTTTTTTTTTTGCTAATTTTGGTGTAAATTTTTAATGTTGCGATTTTTCTTACAAGCGGAGTTTCGAATTTTTTTGAACAGCTTGCGACTATTTAATTGTATTTTTTTCTTTCGACAGTCAAGAGCTGTCGCTTTTTGTTTTCTTTGAAAAAAATACGCGTAATTTCGTTTATATTTGTTTGTGTGGTGCCAATTTTAATATCGGGCCATTAACGATCGTATCCCAAACATGTTGACACACCACAAACCACTTTAGACGCTGAAGGGTGAGGACTCCCCTCCAGAGAACCAAGCGATAAATTCCGATGTCTACTTTGAATAACTGGACAAATTGAATACAGCCATCAAGGAGAAGCGGCCAGAATTGTTCAATCGTAAAGGTGTCATAATCCACTAGCACAAGGCCAGACCACACACAACTTTGGTCATTCGCCAAAAACTGAGAGAGCGTCGCTAGAAACGCTGTTGCATACACCCTACAGCACCGACTTTTTAGCTTCAGACTACCATTTGTTTCGATATATTAAGAACGCATTAAATGGAGACGAAAAGATGGCGAACAAAATGAAAATAACATAATTGATTAAAATTCAATACAAAATTTAAGAAACTATATTTTCTCTATTTTAAAAAATAGCCGGATTTTTTTATGCATAGAAATTTTTATTTCTTCTTCCGAAATCGACAAAATCACATACATTAAAATGTGTATACTTATTCAATTACATTTTCTCGAAGTTTAAATTTTTTTTAATGTTCAGAAAGAGCTTTTTTCAGTTATAAAAATCTGAATCACAAATGTAAAAATTTAAACAAATAATTAAAACTTATATTTATAAAAATCTTCCCCAGAAACCACCATAACCATAGTTATGGGCACCACTGTGTGGTTATATTTGTGTATGGAGCAACCTCATATTCGTAAAATATAAATCATTCTGTTGACTGTTACTTGAGATTCAACGAAATCTGCACATGCAAAAAATTCCTTAAAGTTGTATGTCAACTATTCAATTAAATATATACATACATCACGGACATACATATGTCAAATGTATGCATGGTAAATTGTGCTGTTAAAACAAGTGACAACAAGTCACATATACCATTGACAACTGGGCATAAAATTGTTCATACTGTGTAGTTGTTGCTGCAACGTATGAATTTTGTAATTTTAGTTTATTATTATCATTTGTATGCCAACAGAATTAGTTGCAAGTTTCAAAAATTACTTATTTCGTTAATCGAAAAAATCTGTTTATGTGTACATTAATTTTTATTGTTCGCCTACTGTTTTGAGTCACTATTGCCTGTTTTCGTCATACTTATATTACACTATTTTATTAGCTTTCACAACATTGGATTTCTTTTCATGAAATTTTAGAAAATAATAACTTCTTTATTGCTCCTGTTATTCGCACTGGTCGTTTCATCGGACATGTATGTATATTATCGCCTCTACGAGAACTCTTGCTTAAACTCCACGAATTTTCATTATGTATTTTAACCGGAAGTCAGTACCGCATAGAAGCATATTTGTCGAAGCTATTGCTCTGATGTTTGCATGTAGCAGTACAAACACTCTTTCAAGCACATACATAAGTACTTACATACTTTTATTTTTTATTTCAAGGGAAATTTTTAGCTGTTCATAATCAGCTGCATTTTGACTTTTTTTTTGGAATAGCTTTCATTAAAAGCTTGATAATCAAAACTCAAAAGACTCGACTTCATTTTTAGTACTTGGAAAATGGCTTGCACAATATGTGATTGATTACTTGATATTGCAGGGAGTTGAGAACACAAACATAATTGCAGTTACTTCGCGTGCTGCGTAACTTTTCTCCTCATTTAGCAAGATGCTGCTCTTTTACAGTTATGACATAAAATTTAAGTTCTAAAGGATTTTTAATATTCGCTGCGAATAAAATGTTACTCATACGATCTGGAGCCCATTGTTTGGTTGGTATTATAGGCGGTTTTCTGAATGGGCATGACTACAGTTAATTATTTTTTGCACATACTTCATTAATATCTTATCAAGATTATACATATGGAAACATAAACTTTTTTAGCTTAACAAAACAGATAATTATATTATTAATATTTTCCTTTCATTCTAGTTTGTTTGTATTGATTTATTTAAAGCTTTTATCTTAATTTATTTTCCTCAAACCCATACAGTGGAATTCTTGTGATATAACACTAAAGTAGTTTTACAATTTTTTTTTTAAATAAATTTTAGTTAATTTTGAGTTTTCTGACTGGCGACGAAATATGCTCGTTGTGCTATCCAAGATTTAAATATTTTAATATTGTTTTTTTGAAAGTGCGCTCACATCATTTTCCTTCGAAAGAGCTTTACGAGTTAATAAATCAAACAACACACATTCAGCTCATGTAGGAACAAAAAGCTTGATTTGTTGTCCGATGTCCAGAGTACACAAAACAAACTTTTCCAACTCGTTGAATGGAAATGATAGTTAAACTGTATAAAGAGCCCGATTCCATAATCAATGACGATGTCTTTCATCTCATCTATTCTGACTTCAACACGAAGAATTGAAAAGATGCCTCTACCTCTGCATAAAATTTGATTGTAAGCCTGACCATTGGAACTCTTGTGTGTCCCAATTCAGTATATTAACCATTGACCAGATATTTACAATATCCCAAAGCACGGTTCGCCTAAAAGTGGATTATAAAGCAGCAGTCAAAGGTATAAAACTAAGCTATTTTCAAGCCTCCTTCTGCTGATATCCGCGTAAAACATATGAGACTGTGTAACCTGACGTTGAACAACTGCACAAGTGCTTTCAGAATCAGCAATGACCTCTCCCAGCCATTCGATAATGTTGATATCAACCTTTGCGTTAGTCATAGCGTCTCCAAAGTGGCAAAAAAAAAGAAAATAATGGTTCGGTGGATAAGGATAAGGATAAGATGAAATGTCTTCTGTCTCGGCTTTCGAGTCTCCTTAGACAGTCATTAAATTGATACCACAAATTATGTCGTTTATGCAGGATAATTACCAAGTGCAATAGCAGTTTCTAAACTCACCGCTAAATTACTGTTGTCAAAGGAGCAAACAAAAATCAGCTTCCGCGATCAACTGTATGAAATACATGACGAAACTAGCATAGCTTTAAGTGGCTATAATCGGCGCCCTATGCCAAAAAAAAGTAGAAGAGATGTACAAAAAATTATTTTTTTCAGGAAAATAAAACTAATTTATCAGCAAAAATATCCAGTGGGTTCTTAGAGGAACCGCTGGGTACCCAGACTTACATATTATGAAAATAAGTTTTGTCTGAAAAACTTTTTGATTTCTGTTCTTTATTTATAAGTTGAAATTATTGAGCACAAAATCATTAGTAAAGGCATTTAAATTTGATAATTTTCAGGGAAACAGTATTTTCCAACCGAAAAACATTACCGTATTCCATATTTCTGACACCAGACCTTTGGTCGAGATGTACATTTCGGGTTCTTGCATCTGGGCTTACCTTCCGAAATGTATTCTGGTCAGTGTTCTGTGTTATCTTAGCAAATGTCATGCGGCGGCAGTGACGCAGACAAAATTTATTATTTTAATAGTAATAAATTGTAGTTTTAATTTTTAAAAAAACTTATTATTTTTTTAAATAAATCATTTCAGTTTCTCATTCCCGCAAAGGTAACCAACCCCTAATTGGTTTACCTTCTTTTATTTAATTTTTAAAAGAAAAATTGTCTTTTTTATAAAATATTGCTTTTTTCTCTAATTCTTAAATAATAATTTTTAAAACTAAATAAAACAAATAAAATAGTATTAAATTTAATAATTTACTAATCATGTGTCGCCACGATTTATGCTTAGTCAAGTAGTATGCCACTTCTGAATAAAACTAATGCAACATTTTGTTTGGCTCCGTTTGATCAGTGGGTTAAAATCCTTGCGTTGATATTTTCCAAGTCACACATGTGACAGAACAACCGATCTTTCCATGTGCGTGACTTTATATAAATATGACTGCGGTCAAGGGAAGAATCTAAAATATCAACAGCACCCATGTATTTATTAAGTACACCAACGATACTGGGGAATCGATTGTACACAAAGTTATTATATTTAGAAAAATCAATAATAAAAAAACCCGACTGAACTTTTTACTTGACCAATATGTTACAAGACTATATAACCATATGTTATTGGTAAAATTATTTCAATTGAACAAAAAAATGGAAATATATACACGTATATATTTTTTAATTCAAAAGAAGAGTGATGTCGATGCGTTGGTGATTGAAAACGATTGATTCATTGTGGCGCTGATAATAGCTCTAGCAGTTTAGTTAGTGCAAAAAGTATTGCGGGTGCCGAAGGTTAGCAACAATGGACAGCACATCGCGGCGTTGCCATTTGAGGAGGATTATTCCGAAAATATCATCATTAATAAAAATACAACTAAAATAAAAAATAACAAAAAAAATGAAAAAGGTAGGTGTAATATAAAATATATAAAATAAGAACATAAAATCTATTAAAACAAAAATTAAAATATTATTAAGATTAAAATAGTAATTAAAAAAAATTAAATTCAAATAAATATTGAACAAAAAATCCGAAATAAAAATGTAAATAAAAACAAAAATAAAAAAATAATACTGGATAAACAATAAAAATATGTGCTTTAGGTTGGGAGATGGGACCTCTTCTGACGGCACAGATTGAGATGGTACCCTCCTCTCTTACTAAACTGCTTTTCTCTGCGCTCATAAATGAAGCAACTAACCACCTACAAACTTGAAATAACATTCATTGCTTTACTTAGGTTTTATTAGCTGTAAAGTACTTAATTACCCAAATTATTTTGTGTTATTTGAAAAATTTGTACAGTTACAATTTCAATTTCCTAGACCTGTAACGGCAAGCGAACTTTTGAAAAGAAAATTAGACCGCGATAAGAAAAATTAATTCTAGAATTAGTTTTCTTTTAGATTTTATGTTGATCTGGCCAGGTTTTAAGCGAAGAAAATGCTGGGACCGCTGTTTTTTGAATATAAATTTGCTGAAATTATCAAATACCCAATTGTCGCCGGAAATTACTCTATTCTGCTGTTCTAACAGTTAAATTGCTCAAAGGGATGCAGTTGGTAAAATGAATAGTTCTCTCTACAAAGAATATACTGTTTTCATGATACTGAGAGGTTACAGCCCACTAAACCTAGTTTCCGTAAATAAATTAGATTTTCTAAGAAATATTTTGAAACAATAAATAAATCTTCGATTAGAACAACTGATTACAACGGTTACATTGCTCTTTATGTATGTGTTGGGATTGTTATGCTCGCTCCCAAGGAGCTTATATCTGTTTTGATTTGTTTTTCCCACTTTTTTTCTCCCTTCATTTTTACACTTTCCTGTATTCAACAAAACACACTAGCACTTAAGCATGCCACCGACATCTAATTTTCTACGCACTACTTACAAAGTAGATTTCGCTTTCGCCTAAGAGTCAAATTCTCAGCCACATAGTACATGCCCTTCCAATTAACGGTTCGGAAATTAGGCTCATGTCACTTAAAATCCCACACGCTTGTCAAATCGTTAATGCACATTTCGTTCATTTCCCACACATCTACCACCACATCTATCCACCATATATGTACACATACGCATACTTTTATGTACATATGTATTGTATTCGTATATGCTTAACCCACAGGTGGTGGCAATCGGCCCGTGACATCAAACTAATATTGGAAAACCGCAAACCCTTTCAATTTCGCCCCAATCGACGGTTGCAAAATAATCAACTGGCACAGGCACTATCGGATATGGCTTCTGATGTAGCACAACAACAACAGCAACAACAACAGTGGCAGCAACAGCGAAATCCATCAACAACCGCACTCACATCCCAAGCGTCACCCACAATGACAGCAAACGTACCGCAACAACAGCAACAACAACCGCCTTACCAACCAAATCAGGCAATACCACCAACCTTTGCCGCCATCAGCATGCCGTTTCACACAGGCAATGGCAATGCACCTGAAAGCCGAGGCACTCCGTTGTCCATAACTATAAACAGCAGCAGCGATAGCATTGAGTTGCAGCAACATAACAGCGGCAACAGCAACAAATATATGAACAAATTTGAAGCGAACGACGACTATGACACATTGAGCTGTTGCGGCAAAATGCCGTTAGCCATGATCGCCTACGAGGATGGCAGCGAAAGAGCAGAAGTGGGAGTGTCAGCGTCAGCGACAGCAGCAACGTTACATTGCAATAAACTGATAACGGCAGCTACAATTGAGATTCCGCTCGAGAATTGCCTCTACGAATTCGATGCGGCGCGGCGTTGTGAGGTGATGCATAATTGACAGTTGGTAAATATCGTGTGGCAGTGTGAGATGCAGTAGCGTGAAGAAGAGAGGAAGGGTAGCCCATATGGAATATAAATGGAAATGCGTTTGAACTACAGCCATCGGTGTGGCTTCTCTGCTGTTGATGGATTTTCGGTGCAGAGCAAAGTAGAAAGCAGAATTTACACGTTTGTCTGCCGGCTAAGTAGTTCATACACGTAAAGTAGACAAGCGAGTGAATGATCAAAATTCTTGATTGAAAATTCCCACTGCCGTAAAGGGCAAATACAGAACAAGTCATATGCGACCGGCTCACAAGTAAGTAAATAAAAATAGAAATAAAAAATAAATAAACGATTTTTTTCAGTATATATTTATTGTAATTTACGTTAGACTCCTCTTAACCCTATGTGTGTATATGTCAACATAGAAATTGCATTGTTGAAAAATTTTTAATAAAAAGGTAAACTTCTTTTGCAAGAAAGCTATAAAAGCAAATTATTTATTGTGAAGAGAACAGTGGAAAATGCTAAGAGACTAGTTTTAATATTTTGCAAATCTACATCACAACTAGGCCTTAACTAGTCTTTAACTGCACACGAACTAGTCGAGAAGTAGCTTCGTTTCTTTATGAAAAATGCCATAAACACATCCCAAATTAATAATATTTTTGTCCAACTCCAGTTAAAGTAGATGTGATAAATTTTGCTACTAGTCGCCAACTAGTTTGTTTTTAAACTAGTTGCAAAGAACTTTGGAGCTCATTTTATTTTTACTTAAATTTAAACTTATTTAAAATTAGCTCTTTATTATACCACCTATTTCAAAACTATTCCGTAACTAGTACCGAAGTGGATACGGTTAAACATACAAAAGTTTTTTTACTCCGAAGCAATCCTACTTTGTTATAAATTCATTACAGATTCTAAAATTTTCTGAAACTAGTCGCAATATAATTTGAAATATTTTTCTGCAGAATTATTACCGCATGAAATGTGAGCTGATTAACACCAGCGAATCTTTAACTGCTCAGAGAAGCAACCAAACCCTTAAGTATACATATAGTTCCATACCATTTTCGAAATTATCCCTATCTATTTTCAAATTTAGTTTCAAAGCGAAACAAATCAAATTCAAAGCGAGTTATTCTAAAATTCTTCTGATAAAGATTAAAACATTTTCTGAAACCTATGTGAACCTGAAGTTCAGGGTTTTGTGTTACTAATAAACTAGTTCTGTCCTACTTACAAAATCCATAAGATCACATTGTCGCCTGCTTTGCAAAAATACAAGGGTAATCGCGAAATAAGCCCAAGATATTCTCCTTGGACTTGGATTTCCACGCTGGCCATGTTGTTGTTGTTAATATTGATTTCAAGTTAGACGAAATTATGACTAAATAAAAGCATTTCTAAATTTAATTGAAAAACGCGCGTCATACGGGATATACAACATTTCTCATTCTACGCAAAAAAAACTACAACAACTCACGCACAGACCGTATCCCTAATGGCAGCATTTTTTTATACGAACTCGAAATTTTTTAAATACTCCCCATTGTAAATTTAATAAAAGTTATTCTTGATTATTGCTACAACATACCCCCAAGGACGAAGAAATTCAACGCTTGGCAGACAAGCGAGACGTGACGCGCCGTCACCGCCGCCGCTGACAGCACGCCAATGAAAAGGCAAAATTTATTTATTTTCTTTTGGCTGTTTTGATAATAAATTTTCGACAGAAAATTTAATTTATTGTCGCAGCGATAAAAAAAAACACATAATATCAGATTGCCGTCAGAGGAGTTGGTGAGCAACGAGAAAAACAACAAAACAAATAGTGAGAGTAGAGAGAAATCTCTAGAGTTGAGTAGCTGAAATATGTTTACATAGAAGGCAAAGCAGAGGCGATTGAATAACCAAATTTGTGTTATTATTCACCACTCAACTCACCACCGAGGGCCTGAGCGGAATGAGTAAAAGCTGGACAGGAGAAAATGCTAAACATGACTAAATTGGCGGTATTCAGTGCCGGACGTTGTCATGCGAACAACAACTGCAGGGCAGAAAGGAAAATAAGTTGTGAGGTAGTTGAGTGGCATTTACAACCATTTCTTGGAAGTATTTTTTAAGTATTTTAATTTGATTACATTTTTTACAATGTAAAGGTGAGTTCAATAAGCTGGAGTTGATACTGATTGGCTTAAGTTTGGCTAATCGCTGACATTTGGGTATATGGCATTAAAGCAAACCTTTACAGTTAAATGTAATTCAGAAGAAATATGTTGAAGAAGCGTTCAGAGATTAAGGCAAAAAAAAACTCCGATGGAATATAAAATAGTACATTAATAGATATTCTAAAGAGATTGGTAATAAAATAAGGTCAATCTACATAGATCTTTACAATTGCTTAACCACGTCAGAAGTAGTTCCAAACTCATAATGAAGAAATGCGTGGAAAGCAAGATGCATTAACGCACATAAAAGAGATAATTAGCATGAAAAAATAGGTGAATTTCTCGAAAATTCTAGGACAAACTTCGGCTTCTAACAACAAATTATATAGCGACTGATACCCAAAGTATACTGAGTTTGTGGAGGGAACACTTCACCAGATTACTCAACGACAGCAATAGCGGAACTGCAGGGGCGGAAAGGCAGCGATATGACAAAGTGCATGTGTAAGCTTGTTTGCAGAATGTGGTCAGGGAAAAGCATACCAAACGATAGGAATTTAAATATGTGCTTCTCATATACAAGAAAAAACGGAAGGCAATCACTGTGGGTTTGCCCCTTCAATATCATATACAAGGCTTTATCGATCGTATTGTGTGAGGGACTACAACCAACTGACGACGAACTGCTCGGACTTTATCTGTGTTGCTTTCGACCTTAACCAGATTTTCATCATGCGCCAAATCGTGAAGAATACCCGTGAGAAATGGATTGACGCCCACCGCCTTTTTATCGATTTTAAAACAGCCTTCGACAGCACGAATAGGAGCAGCCTCTGTGCCGCTATGTCTGAATTCGGTGTTGCCGCAAAACTTAAAAGGCTATTTAAACTGACCTTAAGCAGCACTAAAAGCTCTGTCAGGATCGCGAAGGACCTATGCTAGTCGTTCGATACCAAACAAGGTATCAGGCAAGGTGATTTTTAATCGTGTGACTTCTTTAGTTTTTAGCTGGAGAAAATAATACGGGCGGCCGAGCTGATACAATCTGCTATAAGAGTGTCCCGTTGCTGGCAAACGCCATTGATATTGACCTTACAACCGCGTCATGAGTGCTGCTTTCTCCAGACTGGGTAAGGAAGCGAATGATATGTCTTCTTATTTTAGCCAACTTTTTCACAAAATTTATTTTTTTGTTTCAAGTTTTTTGTTTTGTATTTCACTAAACAAATTTCTGACCACAATATGCCTTTTTCTTGAATGCCATTCATTGCCCTTGATTCCTCTGGCATTTAGTGTTTGTGGTTGATGGAAGTGTATACTTGGCTAATGCATCACTTTTGATTACACTCTCATCACAACTTATTTTATTAAATCAATAAAACTCAAATCTGTTTTGTCGCCATCAATATCAAAAACTATTAAAGGTCATTTTATCATACCTTATCCCTCTTTTGTTTTGAAGTGGCTGATCAATCTTGGCTGATTGCCTTCCGATGTTGGTTTCATTACTCAACATCCACAAACATACATACATATGTACAGATATTTTCCTTATGTTGCTTATATTAACTTTTTGGCTTCATTTTCAATGGAAAGTTTTCTAAAGGTTTTGTTAAAAGCCACTTTACCTCCTTCTTGACCATTATTAATGTATTCAATAATGATTATAAAATTAAGTACATACATATAAGAGTCCAATATATAATCTAGTGAGCACATCCAAGTATTGGGTGTATACATTAGTCGAAATTTGTACCAGATAAAGTATTTTTGCGGTGAGTTCTTTTTCATTACGTTAACATGAAGAAAAGTGCTACCGAAGGCCATCGTATTTTACTGGACGCTTATGGTGACCATGCTCTAGCCGAACGAACGTGCCAAAAGTGGTTTGCACGGTTTAAAGGTGGCAATTTCGACTTGGACGACGGACAGCCAAAACAATTTCAACACGAAGAATTGTGGATATTGCTCCACGCAGATGCATGCCAGACGCAAGAAGAACTAGCAAATGTATTACAAGTTGATCAAGCAACCGTTTCCAGACGATTAAAATAATTAGGATTCATCCAGAAGCGTGGGAATCGGGTGCCTTATAAATCAAAGCCAAGAGACGTCGAACGTCGATTCTGCATGTCGGAAATGTTTCTTTAACGCCACCAAAAGAAGTCAGTTTTACAAGAGATCGTATGTGAAGCCCGGCAAACCAGCGACATCCATGTGGTCAAGGTACCGCTATTTATTGGACCACAAGAGTGTGCTCTATTATGAGCTATTGAAAATGGTTCAGACGATCAATGGTAGCGGTCCCCATAGATTGTCCTAAAACAATTGATTCGTTTGAAAAAGGCCATTGCGGGAAAACGACCAGATAATTCGACACGAATCAATAATTTTTCATCACGCCAACGCTCGGCCACATGTTGCAAGGGCAGTTAAAAACTATTTGGAAAACTGTGGGTGGGAAGTTCTACCTCACCTGCCTATTTTTTCTAGTCGTAAAGGTTATTTTTATTGACTTAAATTGAAAAGGAATTATAAAATCTATTATAATTTGCTTAGCAGTAATAAAAGTATTTAAAAAATTTATATTGAAATATTAAATATAAACATATTAACTAATATTACCTTCTATGAATTTACTTTTTTATATTCTTAGAACATACTAAGAACCATATTATGCGCCCCAGTGTATTCAATTTTCCTTTAATTTTATTGGTTTTGAGTTCGCGTCCTTTTAGCTTCCTATGTACTACATGTACACATGATAGAGCCCTCATCTCCTTCACTTTTACTTTTACGCAGCTTTTCGGATATGCATCATGTCGACTTTTATGGCTGCGCTAATATGTCAACATCACAAGCACATTATAACGCCCGGAAATTCACCATTGAGCAGCTCAGACAGCAGTAATCCCGGCTGCTGCATGTCTGCTCAATCTTGTATGCCTAAAAGTGACGATACAGTGACAAAGTGATACTGCCTGCGGTAGTGAAGGGAGAATGATTTGCCAAAAGGGAAATGCAACGAAAAAGTATTAAGAGACAACTTTTGTTTTTGTAAGGTGGAAAATGGAAAGTTACTACACATGCTGTTTCAGCTTACTATCCTCCTCAGCCAATTCTTCAGGTTTTTTGTTCGATTTTTTCCACTATTTTTTATGCCTAAACCGAAGGCGTTTCCACATCTGACATGATCGACAACGACGGCTCAAAATGAAGAATTAATGATTCACTCATCAATCACGTTGCGTGTCATTTAAGCGAGACGCACTTATTCAAATGCGAACAAACACGCATACCTGCTTGTATAAGAGGTTGTGAGTAGACTTTGGAAGTCATTACTTTTGTACAACTTCAGAGAGATTAGTTAGAGTTTGTGAAATTTAGTATGATTTGAACTGGGATAGAGAAATTTTGGATAATATAAAAACAAATAAAATATGTCATTGTGTTTTATTTGTTCTTTGAATACTTGTTGGCAACGCTCTTCACAAACTGTTATTTATCTGCCTAAGAAGCAAAGGCTTTAGAGAAAATTTAAAAATATGTACGTAAAAAACTGTTAGTTTAATGCACTTAACAACAAGAACGTGGAATTGATATAAAAAGGAATAAAACGTTCCTTTACATGGATTTAAAAAAATTAAGATCTGAAAAAATAATTCTTATAAAAAATGTGATGTTAAATATTTTGTTGAAATTTTTACGTCTTTCAGCAATTCATTACTGTTATTATTTTTTTTATTTTTTTTCACTTTACTTTACTTTTTTTTCTGTTTTATATTATTGTATTTTATTTGATTTTATTTTGCTGTATTTGACCTTATTTTTTTTTTTTTTTTTATTTAATTTAATTTAATTTTATTTTATTTCACTTTACTTTACTCTTTTTTCTGTTTTATTTTAATTTCTTTTTATTTGGTTTTTTTGCTGTATTTTATTTTTTTTTATTTTTTTGTTTTATTGTGCTTGATGTTATTTGATTTCAATTAATTTATTTAATTAAATTAAATTTGGCTCATGTTTTTTTATTTAATTCAATTTTATTTTATTTATATTTTATTCTATTTTATATCGATTATTTTATTTTAGTTTCATTTTCTTTTTATTTGTTTTATTTTTATTTATTTTATTGTATTTTATTCATTATTATTAGTTTTTTTCTCTATTTCTTTTTAATTTATTGTATTTTTATTCTATTTTTTTAATTTTACTCTATTATATTATATTTTGCTTTATTTGATTTGGTTTGATTTTATTTTACTGTATTTTAATTTATTTTTCGATTATTTTTATTTTATTTTCTTTTGTTTTGTCTTATTTTAGTTTATTTTTATTTTATTTTATTTAATATTATTAGCTTATTTCTTTATATTTTTAATTTATCTTATTCTTATTTATGTTATTTAATTTTATTAAATTTCATTTTGTTGTATTTGATATGATTTGATTTTATTTAATATATTTAATTTATTTTAAATTAGTTTTTTTATTTACTGTTTTTTTTTTTAATTTTATTTAATTTGATTTAATTTTATTTTATTTTATTTTTAACTAATTTTTTTTGAATTTCTTATTTTATTATTTTTTTATTTAATACTTTTTTTATTTTAGTTTGTTTTATTTTATTTTTCCCTTTTATTTTATATTGTTTTGTTATGTTTTATTTTTTTTTTATATTTTAATCCAATTAGCTTATTTGATTTTATTTGATTTTTTTATTTAAATTTATTTTATTTTATTTTTTTTTTCCATTGTATTTTATTTTATTTTATTTATTTAGTTTTTTTATTTCACTTAATTTTATTGTATTGTATTAGATTTGATTTAATTTTATTTTATTTTAATTTATTAATTTAATTTAATTTAATTTATTTAATTTAATTTTATATTATTTTATTTCATTTAATTTTATTGTAATTTTTTTAATATCTATTTTATTATAATATTATACATTGTTTACATAAATAAAACTCACATCTTTATCGCCCAAACGCTCGACGCGACAGTACAGAAATCCAGTTTGGCCTACAGTCACCGTTACATTACGCGGTACATCGAAGTCAAAGTAGGGCAAGAGATTCGCTGGTGAAACCGTCGTTGTTGAAGTCGTTGTTGAATATGAACTCAGCGATTCTGGAAAAAAAGAGTTGTAAATAAATAAATATGATCCGCAATATTTCGATACATGAAATTTGCAAATATCAAATTCAAGTACTAAATTAAAAAGATATTTATTTTTAATCGATGTAGTTCAAAGCGGCCATTTGTTAGCTTTGATTTGTTTGAACTAAACGAGTTCGGATTTGTTTTCTACTCGTATAATATTAGAAACAGAAAAAAAGAGAAAAAGCCCAACAAATTTAGCTTTAATCCGTATAAGATGTGACAAAATTTGATAAGAAATATTAAGTATATGCGTAAATAAATTTGTATCGGGGATCCCAAATGCTTTCCTCAACTTTTTTTTTTTTTATTATACACTTCTTTCTATCTCCACTTCCTTCCCCTTCATTAATATTTTTGAAATTTTACTCGCTTTTTATTGCTCAAAATTTTATGGCTTTTATTATTTTATTATTTCGCTTTGGCGCCTTGATTTGTGTTAAGCTTATGGCATACCGCAGAATTGTGGTTAAAAAGGAAAAATCAAGAAAAAGATTAATAACGGAAATCATTATAAAAGTTGAATGCCGAAAAAATCCTTTTAACGCCGCCAGTCAGCATTAGCTGTCTTAGAAAATTCCGCACAAAAATAAAAAACCAAACAAAAATAACAACTTGCCACATATGTATGTGACAGATTTTTGCTTCACAATAAAATGTTGAGTGTTTTCAATTGCTTTGTTAAAAAGGGGAAGGATGTTTTTAGAATACAAAAATTGTGTTCCTTTCTCTGATTTCTTTGTTCTACTGTCATGTGGCATTCTTTATTTATTTCCCCGCACACCATATTTCTGCCACCTACATACATCTCCTTACGTTAACCCTCGTAACAGCGGTAAGGAATACAAACACACGCGGTCGGATGTGCAATTGAGTGGCAGAGAAAGGCCAAACAAAAAAGACAGGACAATAAGAATAACATAAATACTCAGCACAGATGTATATGTGTCGCAGCAAACAACGGTGTGTGTACACATACGTACATACATGCACACATGCATACATATTTGTTTACCTACATACTTTTTACCTAGTCGCGGTTGAAGCTCAAGCCTTTTTTACAAGTTAAACGCCAGCTTTTGTAAAATTTATTGTTTTTTCCAAATTTTTCACGGGTATCCGTGGAAATACGCAAAATATTTTTCGTTTGACGATAAGTCGCCGTAAGCGTGTTCCATTGTACGAACACTGGCAGCCCACGAGCAAAGCATTTTCTGCGTTTTTCATTTTTTTTTTTTAATATTTTATTCTTTCTCTGTTTTTTAATATTTACTGTGTCCTCTACATCTTATTTTTAACACTTGTGCACGTGCAAGTAAAAAGGATTTTCTAGAGGCAATCAACATGAGTGATGAATTTACTAAACTCAATCTTTTATTTTATGAAAACAACTACAAAAGGGTAATTTAATTGGTTTGCAAATATGTGAGAAGGCATGTTATGTATATACATCTGGTTCTCGGTAGCTGAGGAGTAGGCTGAAATTTGGGAGAGTAAAGCTGGTGTTTACTCGCAGAAGTGGATGGGCAGATGGCAAATAAGAATGTGAACTTTGCATGATTGCACAGTGGAAATTGGAAAGTATTGAGTGATTCATTTCGTGGTCCTAAAAGTACAGGGTTGTATTGTGACATCTGCCAAAACTTAATTGTAGAACCAAACATATTTTGTTTTAGTTAAAAGTCAATCATTATATGAAAATATGAAGTCCCGAATGTGTCAATTTTTCGACATTCTCTAGAGCAAGGACTTTCTTACGGCACATTATAGCATATTTTGTGCCTCGACTTACACCTGTATCCACACAAATTGCAGCTCAAACAACAACTGAAGCCATAAACAATGCCGTGCATACGTCGATTGGATGATTGAACAACAAGCAGTGGACGAACGAAGTTTTCTTCAGCGACGGGACACATTTTCCCTCGGCGGTTAGGTAAACAACCGCGTTTGGCGGCCGTAACATACAAAAGTCGCTGTCTGGTACGCTTTTTGACTTAGAGGTATGATTGTGCCTTACTTTTATAAAAACGACAAAGAGTTTTACCTCGAATGGTTGGAAGTGCATAAAAGTTCATGAGGCAGTCATTGGAATATGTTCCACATATCATTCCAAGACTCACACTTGGTTTATAAATGACTCCTACATGTTTTCTGAAAAGTTGTGCAAAAAATCTATATTTGCATTTAAATCACCTTTTTAGTTCCTCTCTCAAACATGGTGTGTTCTCAACAATATGGAAGCAATCTTTAATATAACACCCTTACAAAAGAGTGGTTATAGGTCTAAGATTGAGAATTATAGATTTTAGAGGCAATCATTACTAGCCAAATAACCTTTGCGGTCTCCACACCACCGCGACTAGGTAAAGGAAAATCAACACTTATAAATTCGCTGGAATTTGTGTCACATATCTATAAAGCCTCTAGAGATAATAAACAAACTGACGAAATGGTTAATCGATCAATTGTCATCCAAAATCTAGATCTTCTGGGCTTTCAAAAAAAATCTCTTCAATGAGTTTCCTCGTGTCTCTGCAATATTTTTTTCTATATGCCGCTGAAGTACAATTTTTTATGTAATATACCTCAATCGCCGTAGGGCGTTTCATTCAACACGATCTAGGCAATTTAGCTCTTTGATAACAATGACATGCTTTTAACTCTTCATAAGTGTAAAACTATGTGCATTTCACGAAGACTGGTTCAAACATCTCTTTATATAATTAATAACTGTACTCTTGAGCAAGTCTTAAACTTTGTTGATTTGGGGGTTATGGTTATGACCCTAAGCTCAGCTTTCATCTTCATATCAATCCCACTGTCTTAAAAGCTAAATTACTTTTGTCTATATCACAATATGGTCAAAAGAATTTTAAGACCCTTTTGTAACTAATCACTTTCTACAACTTTAGTGAGGCCAAAATTAGAATATGATTCACTGATATAGAACTCTATTATCCAAGTTCATTCTGATAATTTTTACCTTTTACTTTAAGACATTTCCGATACTCCTCTACGATAAATCTTCCTCCCTTCTGAATCTACCAAATCTCGCAGGAAATGTTGATCGTAGTTAAACGCCTTAAGGGATCAATTTGTAGTTCATGCCTCTTGTCTAAGCTCAACCTCAATTTTCCAAAGCGTGTATCTAGCAGTTTAGGCCTTTATTATTGAAGTCATGTAAAATAAATTATGAATTGAATGAACCCTTTCGCTGATGGTGTCACAATTTAAATTTCCATTCCGAGATCTTCGATCTCTCAGACTAACTTTTTAGAGTCAACAAACTATTCCTACTAAATTTCAGCTGTTGAATAATTATTTTTTTCTGTAGCGGTACAGTTTTAAATCTCGACGCTTAACAACAGGTTACTAATCATGACTCTGCATATTCCGTACGTTATGGGAGTGCCGCCTCTCGTATCGGTTGGGCGGATCAAGGGTATTTTTTGGGCTCATTATAATAATAAAAAGGAACTTTACGAATTAAATACCTCAAGCGAACTTCATTTACGTTTATTTTCGAAATCTCAAAAAGGATAGCCGTATTTATAAGAGGTAACTGAGTTAAAATTAAACGTTGGCAAGAATTTTAGAAATCTGTTACAATATTCCAACGTACTTTTAATGACTTTCTTATTTTGACTCTTGATTAATTTTTTTATATTTAATTCCATTTTTTATTTTCTTCATTTAATTTTTCTGTTTTATTTTACTTTGATTTCTTTCATTTTATTTTATTTTTTTATTTGATTTAATTTTTTTATTTTCTTTTATTATACTTTATTTAATTCAGTTCTGTCTCATTTTATTTTTTAATTTTATTTTATTTTAATTTGTCTATTTTATTTCAATTTATTTTATATTCTATTATATAATTTTTTTTTAATTCATTCTATTGTATTTTTTTATTATTTTATTTATGTTATTTTATTTTCTTTTGCTGTATTTTATTTTTTTATTTCATTTATTCGACATCATTTTATATCAATTTATTTTATTTTTTTATTGTTATTTAATTTAATTTAATTTTTTTTAATTTTTTTTTTGTATTATATTTATTTTATTTCATTTTATTTTTTTTTCAAATATGTTTCACATTATGTTACTTTATTTTATATTTTATTGTTCCATTTTATTTCATTGTGTTTTATTTTAGTTTCTGAATCCGAGAACTCCGTAATATACATATTTGCTATTTGATCACTATCGAATTTTTTAACTTGTTCTATATATTGTTCTCCGTACAATGACCTATCGATTTTTGATCTGATCAAAAAATCGAATTTTGGCTGGCCCAAAACGACCAAAATTTTGGGTATAATTCGACTATTTTTTTTAAAACCCTGCCATATTGTCAATTTTTGATTTTTTTCATTGTAGGATATTGCACAGATAATATTATCTTATCGAGAATCACTGCAGCAGAGAGGGACCTTTTTTTCGCACCGCTGGAGATCGACTATAACTTAAAAAGTATTTAATTTTTTTCTTCAAAAATTTCACTGTATATTCTTGAAACATGTATAAATATATTCTTAAAATTTTTAAATAAAAGATGAAGTGTTTTTTTACAAAAAATCATCTTTTTTTAGGCCATTACACTATGTGTGCCCCTTAAGTAAATGTGCCGATTTGTGCCTTCACAAGTGCCACTTTATATGTTTGTTGTTTCCGCAACTGAATTATATATACCCTCAGTATTTTTTTTTTTTTTTTTTTTTATTTTAACGATTCTTCTGAATTGTAAGGATAAGCAAATAAATATATTTTCGATTACTAAGAAATGTATAAATGGACATTATTTACGTATTTATGGAAACATAAAAATATTTCCGAGAAATAGTATTATGTATATAATAGAATGAAAATACTGAAAATGATAGTATTTATTTAGCTTAGAAAAAAAGTATTGAGATGTTAATAAGTGCAGACAAATATTTTTAAAATGCTGCATAATATTATAT